ACCTACTTGATACTGGTCACACCGTCGACCCCAAAACTTCCTTCCCAGTACTTGTTCGGGCACGAACAACTCGGACATTGCGTTACCTGGAGGCGGCCTATATACGACGAGTGAAACCAGATCTTTGTAAACAATTGGAACGCGTGGTTTACCTAACATTGCCATGGTAGCCTCTAGCTCCATGATTCCTCCTTTCTCCTCTCATTTTTTTGCTCTTTAACGTTCACCTTTTTTCACTTTCTTCTCCTACGGTGTTTGTGCTACTAGCTTTATCGATTAGCCAGCTTTGCCCAAAAACCTGACCTTCGTGTTTCTGCATTGATTTCTGTACGGATTCAAATCTGTTGTATTGTTCTCACTCGTTATCTCTCTTATGAAGCGACAGGATGCAGCTGAAGATCAGTCGTGAAATTTTTGGTACCAATAAATCCTGCCGTTCTTGCCTACTTCAGCTTCGTACCGGGGACAAAATGCTTCAAATCTTCCTAACTCTCACTCAGTAGGTACGGACAATATCCCAAACTTTTTTATAAAACAACTAAGAGATTTTCCTCCTCCGCTTAGCAATATCTTTTCAGTATTTCTCGTAAATGGCTTCTTGCCTGACTGTTGGAAAACTTCTATTATTATTCGAGTATTTAAGTCTGGCTGTCGTTCTGACGTACAGAACTATCGAGGTGTCCATAAAACACCCTCTCTCGCCAAAATCTTCGAAAAAATTATCGCCGTAAAAATTACCGAATTTTGCATAGCCAATCAAGTTATTAGCCCTTCCCAGCATGGTTTTTTACCAGATCGCTCTTGTGAAACATGTCATCTGTCGTTTCTCGATCTACTTACCTCTATTCGTAATGATCACCTATCTGTTGTCGTTATTTATTTTGATCTTAGTAAAGCCTTTGATAAAGTGCCACATAAAAGACTCTTGATTAAATTGGAAGCTATGGGAATTCGCAGTCCACTAATAGACTTTCTCAGGTCATACCTGTCTAATCGTAAACAAAAGGTTTTGGTGGGATCTTCACTTTCCAGTGAAAGCCCTTTTGTGAGTGGTGTCCTACAAATAATCGTTTTAGGCCCTCTTTTGTGCTTGCTTCACGTAAATGATATCTCGGCGGCAGTTAAACATTCTCAATCATTTATTTATGCCGATGATCTCAAATGTGTATATTCTTTCAATAAATCTACGGGCCTTCATTGCCTGGAGCAAATCCATGCTGACTTGCTTGCTCTCTCAGCTTGGAGCTCAAAATGGCTAATGGAGTTCTCTCCGTCTAAATGTCGCTATATGTATTTTGGACCTGATAGGCTACCTCAACCAGTGGTCTTTCAAGGTACACCTATGACTGAATGTACCACCATCAAGGATTCAGGTTTAAGCTACACTAGTAATCTTGATCTCTCGCCACACGCTGACAGAATTACAGCCAAAGGTGCCCAGATTTGTGGTTTTATTTCTTACAATTTCTATCTTCCCGAAATTAAATTAAGGCTCTATCGTATGTTTGTACTTCCCATTCTCGAGTATTGTTGCCCATTCTTTGATTTGATGAATGAAGATAGTCGTTTAAAAATTTAAAATGTCCAAAGACGCCTTTCTAAAAAAACTTTTAGATAAGGAACATTCCAATATCTCCTAATCAGACAGACGCCAGCTAATTAACCTAAACGTTTTACGGGTTCGAAGGCTAGAAGCGGGCTTTTGTCTCCTCTTTCGCATTAATCATAGTTCAAATTTTCCTCGGATTTCAGCACTCACCCCTCGTAGTCGCCCATACAATCTTCGCAACTCGTCTTTGATTATATCTCCTCCAGCGTCCTCCACCTCTAAGCGCTCCCTTTTTTCGCTTCCAGATATACTTTCCTCTGGAATAACCTTCCAATAAACATAAGATCTTCAGAAAATCTACACACCTTTAAGAGAAGGCTACGCCTTTATCTGAATACTGACTCGATTAAACTTTTATTTTCCTCATCCTTCCCGGACAACTTTTTCTATGACACTGAGAAGGGGCCACTGGGAATTTAGTATGCCACCATTAAATTTCCGTGTCTGTTCACATTTCCTTCTTTTGTGTGTAGTCTCGATTCCTAAGATCCCTCATCAGAAATGTTAATTTTTTCAATTTTTCAGTTCATGCATGGCACCCTCACAGAATGCGCTCCATCGACGCTCTTGGCGAAGCCTTCTGTATTCGCCATATACTAGTACTCTGGTCGCATCTCCCTTACCCCTTCCTCGGATGGACTAGGATGAATGTAACCGACCGCATCTGGGTTCCTATCGCCTCGATACTGGTTTTCAATTTCGCCACTTATTTGCCTTATTCAAGGCCACATATAGGCCAGTCCTGACCGACCCGCCTACTTCCCCCTTCATGAAATCCGTTATACAATGCCATACACAGCTGACATTTATTTCGGTCCTGACGATGTCCGACTATAATCCATTCTATACCGCCACATGCAGGCCAGTTCTGCCCGCATTTTTCTGTTTTTATTTTTTTCGAGGGGTTTTTTTCTCCTGTAAAATAAATCCAATCATTTTTAAATTTTCATGTGGAGTTTTTTTCATCCCTCGCTTATCGCTTTTATTAACGGACTTCTAATTCAAAAACTACGTACTGCACTTTGTACAGATTTTGCCTACCTCGTCCAAAATTCGCATGTTAATTTATTTTTACTTGCTTTGATGGGACCCCGACGAGTCTTTAATAAAAAAATAAAATAAATAATAATAGTTACTATATCAGCTAATAATTTCCGATCAGTGACGCTTTCGGTGGTGTACCGTTCACCTAGCCATACTTCTGACTAAGAACTCATGCTCGTAACTGGAGTTAACCAAGTCAGTGGGGAGAAGGATGTCCTTATCGTTGAGGATTTTAACGCTCCTGGCATTGATTGGGTAACGTGGACTGCACAAGGGCCGCAAGACAGCTTTAATCACAAACTACTACAATGGGCAACGGACAAACTTCTCTGTCAAAATGTTACCTTGTGAACGCGGTCCAGGGAAGGACAGCAGTCGAACTGCCTTTATCTTGTTTTTACCAGAGAGGAGGAAAATGTGTTAGACCTGCAGGACCGACCGCCATTAGGGTCAAGTGACCACATCATGCTCTACTTCGAGTACTCACTGTTTTCCAAATCCATTCGACCCGATAGGTGGGAGAGGAACATTTGTAAAGGGGAACTGTTCTATCATGAGGACAGAAGTGGCAGCTGTATCATGGGAGACTGAACTGAATGGCAGGCAAACGACAACTGGAATACTCCCTGTTCCTTACTGAAAGGGATTGTTTATTCCAATTGTCCTCTCAGAAGAAAGACAATCACAAATCCCTCTAAATGAATAAACTCGGGCTTAAGGGCCTCTTTCAGAAAAAGGAATAGTCTGAAGAGGTATTACAGGCTAACTGGCTCCGAAGAACACTTACAGGAATATAAGCAGCAACGAAACGTATGTAAAAGTGAGGCCTCAAAGCTTCGAAGGAAGTTAGAACTGCACATATTTCAAAATTCGTTGGAGCTTCCGAAAATTCTACATGGCTATATACGAAGTATTAAAAGGACTCAGGAAGTGATCCCTGCTCTTAGGTCTCCAGATGGAAAAGTGGAGACTGATTAACAGATTAAAGCGCCTATTCTTTCTAAATTCTTTCCGTCCGTCTTCACCCGAGAACCTAGCTCTGTATTTGCCTATCCATCTGTTCGCCATCCAACCTCTCCTCCTAGCACCCTTTCCCCTCCTACCCCCCCTACCCTCCTTAATTGAGGAACCACTCATTTCATCGACCATAGTTAGGGCCGAGCTTCTCCGGCTGAAACCTGCCAAATCGCCTGGCCCAGAGAGAATTGCCGCACTAGCACTTCGTGAACTTGCTGATATTTCGACCATCGATTTCGATGATGTCCACCGTGTGCCCCACAGCAGTGATGGGAGCAATGACGGTGATTTGCGCAGGGGTTTATAGTGCCAGTGGACTTGCACTGCATCTACCTACACTCTCTCCTCCTCCCCCGCCTGAGCCCGATGTCAAGACAGAGTCAGGAAGACCGGAGACGAGGGAGGCCGCTGGTGGATGGCTCGGACGGATCCTCACCTTGGCGTTCCACCACACCCCCTGGTCCACACAAATTACCAGAATTTTGCCCAACACAACAGAGATTGGAGGCTGGCACGGAGAAGTAGCTGCACCTAGGCGTGCCGCCAACGCCTGGCTCGGATCCCACACAGTGAAGGGATTGCCATAAAGGCCACATTAAGAAGGAGCCATTGCGGCCTGCCTCTCAGACCTCCAGTCCAAGAGGTCCAAGTTATCCCGTCAGTTGGCGACCTTCCAAGCCACGGCTTTTAGCGCACCGTGATAGGTTTAAGCGCGTCAGATTGTTTGTAGTGAGGCGAAAGTGCGTGAGTCGTCGATCTCACTCTCCCTTTCCATTCCCACACCCCAGCCACTGTCCGAGCCGGTCAGCAGACTACAGCAGGGAATGGGCGCGGTGGCTGACATGGTCGACTGACCATGTCTGCGTGCGCCACGTGCACGACCTGACCTCCCAGACACACACACACACACACACCAGGATTTCACACAAGGGGGATTGAACGGCGTGTCTCTCACTTGCGTGAGAGGGCCGTGGATGGTGCTGTTTCAGCCCGTTTCCCAGCCCACCAGTCCACCACGCCACACAACACACGCACAACGGGACGGACTGCGTGGACTGAGTGGGAGCATCAATCAGCAGCCCTGCTATTTACGACGCTTGACGTGTTGGGATAGTCTCAGACTCAAGTCGCCCGGACAGCCGAAGCCGCATGGGGACCGAGTCGAGATGCGCACGTCCCACTTGTGCGGTAGGTGGCAGTTGAGTGCTTGCGGTGCGTGAGTGTTGATGCGTGATGGGGTGGTGGTGGTGGTGGTGGCGGCGGTGGTGGAAGCAAGGAGGGAGGGAGGGTGTGGGGGTGTGGTGCAGCCGGCGGTTGTCTACCGCAGGTCTTCGTGGATGCGCATGTGACCGAATAGGCCCATGCGATGCGTGAGGGTGCGAAGGCAGTGTGGGCAGTGGGGGCGAGTGCGGTTGGTGTAGTCTAGTGCACCAGACACTGGTTCGCCAGCCTCTGTGCGATGGATTCGCAAGTGACCGACCAGGCCGATGTGTGAGATGAAGGTGCGGTCGCCGTGAGGGCAGGTGTAGACCTGGTCCTCACCTCCGGAGCCGGAGGCTGTAGGGGTGATGTCTGTTGCTGTGTCGGGGATGTGTGTGGTGTTGCCGTGCGTGCCAGCCGCCATAGCGGGCGTCGTTGAGGCAGCGCAGGAGGAGGAGGAGGAGGCAGAAGAAGAAGAAGATAGATGTGGTGATTCAGAAGACCAGTCAGAGATAGTTGGTGGAGGAGACGACGAGGAAGAGGCGGGCGGAGAAACGACAATTGGTGCAGTCCGAGCGGTCCAGTCGATCCGAAGGTGCCCAATAAGTCCAATTCGTGCCCGGAATGTCCGCTGGCATCGAGGACATGCTGGAGCGGTTGTGCGTCGTCGTTGCGGAGTGGACACAGCTGTGACTTGCGTGCTTCGCGTTTCACTTTGGCGCAGCGATGCGGTTGGCTTCGTAGATCGCATCGCCTGTCTTCACTGTCCTCCTCCAGGTCAGTCGGTCGGTCGAGTGCGAGCTCCTCCCAGTTGGTCGGGTTTATTTGCAGGCACTTCAGGGAGGACTTCAGAGTGTCCTTGTATCAACGAATTTGGCCTCCTTGGCGACGAGAACCCGTGGCGACTTCTCCGTAGAAAAGTCGTTTAGGTAGCCGCTCGTCGTCCATGCGCACCAGCTGACCTCTCCAGTGCAGCTGCATTTGTCTCAGCGTGGTGTAGATGCTAAGGATTCCCGTCCGTTCAAGTACATCAGTGCCAGGGATGCGATCCTGCCAGCCCAGCCTCAGGGTGCGACGAAGACAACTGAGGGGGAAGTGGTTCAGTCGGCGTGCCCGCTTTGTGTACACTGTCCAAGTCTCCGCTCCGTGCAGCAGCGTCGGCTGGATGACGGCCTTATACATCCATAGCTTCGTGCTCAGTTGGAGACCATGACGATTCCAAACTGTGCTTTGGAGGCGGCCGAAGGCTTAACTGGCTTTCGAGATCCTGCGAGCGACTTCGTTATCGATTTTAGTGTTATAGGAGAGGATACTGCCCAGGTACGGGAAGTTCTCCACCACTGGCAGTTGGGTTCTGTTCACGCTGATTTACGGCGCGTTTGGAGGAGTGGCTGTGTTGGGTGGTGGTTGGTGTATGACCACCGTCTTCTGCGTGTTTATGACCAGACCGAAGTTCTCGCAGGCGGCAGAGAAGAGGGCCATGTTCCGTTGCATGTCCTCCTCGGAGGTGGTGTTCAGGGCGCAGTCGTCGGCGAAAAGAAGCTCGTGAACGGTGGTTGTGGATACGCGCAATTGGAAGTGCATCCGCCGTTGATTCAGAAGGTGATGGCCCGTCCTGTAGGCGATGCGGATCCCGGGGCGTTCATCACGGTAGGCGTCCATCAGCATGGCAGAGAACATAAGGCTGAACATGTTAGGCGCCAGCACGCATTCCTGTTTCATTCCATTGGTCACTGCGAATGCCTCTGAGACAGCTCCGTTGTCCGTGACTCGCGCCATCATACCGTCGTGCAGCTGACGCACCATCTGAGTGAATCGCTCCGGACAGCCGAATGTTTGCATGATCTTCCACAGTCCTTCACGATTCACCTTGTCGAAGGCTTTCGTCAGGTCCACGAAGGTAGAGTACAGGTGAGTCCGCATCTCCTTGCACTCCTCCTGAAGTTGACTGGCGGCCAAGATCATATGCGTGGTCCCACGATGACGACGGAAGCCGCACTGGCTTTCCGGTAGAAGGCCCTGTTCCAGATGATTATTGAGACGGTTGAGGAGAATGCGAGCGAAGATCTTCCCGGTGACGTTCAGCAAGAAGATGCCGCGGTGATTGTCGCAGAGTTGGCGGTTCCATTTTCGCTTGTAGAGATGAACGATTGTTGCGCCTTTGAAATCTTGCGGGACTTCGCCTTGACGCTACATCTCCTGGAAGAGCGCAGTCAGGTGATCCATGAGCAGGGGACCACCGTGCTTATTACCTCAGCAGGGATCGCATCCGATCCGGGCGCATTCCCGCTGGAGAGCTGCTGCATGGCCCTGGCGGTTTCCTGGAGAGATGGTGGGAGGTCGAGGTCCACGTTGGTCTCCACTTGCGGCAAGCGGGCGATTGCGGTGTCGGAGATGGTGGAGGGGCGGTTGAGGACGCCTCGGAAGTGCTCGACCCATCGCTGCAGAATTGGTTTCTTCTCGGTCATGAGGGTACTGCCATCGGCACTGAGGAGAGGAGCGGTGCCTTTCGTCGGCGGACCGTAGACAGCTTTGATCGCGGAGAAGAAGTTGTTCCACTCATTACGGTCCGCGCATCCTTGGATCTCCTCAGCTTTGCGAGCAGTCCAGGCGTCCTGCATCTCGCGCAGTCGTTGTTGAAGCTGTCGGCGACTGCGGTAGAAGGCAGCTTTGTTGTCCTCAGTGGGGTGATCTACGTAGGCTTTGTGTAGGCGGTTCTTCTTGGCGAGCAGGTTGCTGATGACGGCGTCGTTGTCGTCGAACCAGTCCTGGTGTTGGCGGCGTGCGCGACTGAGGACGGCTAGTGCCGTTGACTGGACCGTGTCCCGCAGTTGACACCATCGGTTCTCCACGGAGGCGTTCTCGGCAGCGTCGGAGGCGTCGGCGGCGGCAGCGGCAGCGATGGGAACGTTGATAAGCCGTTGAGTCAGCTCATTGCTGAAATGAAGATGGTGAGCGGGCATAGACAACAAGGTAATGTTCATCTTACCTGGGAGTCGCTTACCTTGTGGTCTCCTGCGAGACTGTAAGCGAATACGCGTCTTCGAGATGACGAGGCTATCGTCGGTCCACCCATCAGCGCCGACGATCGCCTTTGTCACCAGCATATCTCGCTGGTCTCGCCTCCGGACGAGGACATAGTCCAGTAGGTGTCATTGGTGCGACCGAGGGTGCCTCCAGGTGGCCTTCTCTCGCTCCGGCAGACAGAAAACGGTGTTCGTCAGGATAAGACAGTGTTCTACGCAGGTGCGGAGAAGCAGCAAACCACTGTCGTTTGAGTCGCGGAGACCATGGGGACCCAGAACTCCTCTCCAGGCAGCATGGTCTGTGCCGACGAGGGCGTTGAAGTCACCAACGACAATCAACTTGTCCGCCTTCGACACAGTCGCCAAGAGGGCGTGCAGGTCCTCGTAGAATTTGTCTCTTGCGGTGTCGGGGCTGGTCATCGGCGGGGCGTAGGCGCTGATGATGGTGGCGGATCTCCCTCCCCGGAGAGACAGATGGAGGCTCATCAGGCGACGGTTGATGCCCTGCGGCAGGCAGGGCAGTCGCCCCATGATGTCGTTCCGGATGGCGAAGTCGACACCTGCATCTCGTTGCTCAGACCTGGGGCGACCACTCCAGAAGAAGGTGTAGCGCGCACCCACCTCCTCCAGCTGGCCTTGCTTGGAGAATCGAGTCTCGCTGAGTTCGGCAATGCCCTGTTTATAGCGCGCCAGTTCACGGGCCACTAGCGCTCTCCGGCGTTCCGGTCGGTTGCTCCTCGGGTGGTCTAAAAGGGAACGAACATTCCAGGCTGCCAGAGTGAGCGGACTCATTCGGTCAGTCTGACGGCGGCGACGAGTTGGGTGGCGGGTAGGAGGTGGAGAGGGGGATGAATAAGGCGAAGAATAGGCCGAGGAAGAAAAAGAACATGTAGGATGAGGAGGAGGAGGGAGTATTGTTTTTATTGTTGTTGGTATTGTTTCGATTTTAATTGTTTCGACCATGTGTTTGACATCTGCGATCCTGGCTGGCCTGCAGACGACGTGGTGCCCAGCAATGTTTAGGCCAACTTTTCTAGGCCCTCCCGAAGGCAGGCAGTGCCCCCCCCTCAATAGGGCTGCCCATGTGTGCCCTTATATCGCGGCCGAACTCCGCTATGAGGCCACGATTTCTGTTGGTAGTGGAGAACGGCTCGAATTTGCCGTAAGCCCGCGGTCTCCGACGGCGTAGTTGGGCGCGTCAGAGCGATTTCTATGCGGAGATCCATCCCGTCACCAGCTGACCAACGGCGGACCAGGCGGAGTCTCGTCTCGACGATGCCAATGCGAAGTTCCAACCATCCGGCTGACCAACGGAGTACCAGGTGGATCCTCGTTACGGCGGTGCCGACGCAGTTTTCCATCCGACCAATCATCCAGCGGAGTCCGCAATACCCTGTGCACGCGGCACAACGCGCACCGGGAGTAACTGCCCTCACCTGGTTTAGCCCGCCGGTCGAGGCGGTTGCCCGGAGTGTGGCCACTGAGCAGTGCGCAGCTGCGTGGAGCCACGGGTGAGAGTTGGGCGCCAGCAAACGGACGCTAGGCGTAGTCTCACCTGCAAGCAAGTGAGCGACCACTACGACCATAACGCGAACCCACCACTGGACACCCCTACACCCCTCGTGAACTTGCGCAAACCATTATCCGCAATATGTTAATAGCCATTTGAAGACGGCGAGCTCCCGGAAGAATGGAAGTGCGCACTCATTACTCCGATCCATAAAGTGGGCTCACGAATGGACTGCGGAAATTATCTTCCAGTCGGTCTTACTTGCATCGCGTGTAAAATAATGGGACGCATTATCAAAAGACACATGATAAAATGCCTGGAAAAAAGAAAATATTGTGTGATGGCTAACATGGCTTTCGTCCAGGGCGCCCCTGCTTAACAAGTGTTCTTTACTCGCACGAGAATTGGACACGAGCTACCTATAAGGGTTTTCTAGGGAATTTCATATTTTTTAACTTCAAGAAGGCCTTTGAAAGTGTCCCACACAGGCTCTTTTCACAGAAGATCTGGGATGTAGTAATTCAAGGAAGAATATTTAAATGGATTAGGAGTTTTCTGTCCTCAAGTTTACAAAGAATCGTCGTTGGTAACTCTGCCTCGGAATAACCAAAGGTGAAAAGTGGTTACCCACAAGGTTCTGTCTTAGAGCCAGTACTCTTCCTGCTTTATGTTACTGACTGCATCAGCAAAGGGATTTGCGAGGCCCTTATGTTCGCGGGGGACATAAAACTATGGAGCGAAGTCAAGTTTGGTCGAAAAGATGGCCGAAAATGCGTCTCCCAAACACCAGTATTATATTAACGGAACTACATTAGAAACTGTAGAAAGACACAGAGATCAGATCTGGGTATATGGACGACCACAAATCAATCGCCATCAGAACAATGAAGGCAACTAGTACTCTACACTGGATCAGACTGCATTTAAAACATTTCCGCCCAAACTCTTTGAAAAACTCCTTGGTGTCTTTGTAAGACCTCATCTGGAGTATGGAATGCCAGCAGATTCACCATGGATGAGGAAGGAAATCGACTAATTCTAACAAGTGCAACGCAGAGAAACGAAGATGGTCGACGGTCTAAAGCATTTGTCTTGCCAGGATAGATAGATAGATAATTTTTATTAAAGACCCGTCGGGGTCCCATCAAAGCAAGTTAAAATAAATTTGCATGCGAGTTTTAGACGAGGTAGGCCGAATCTTTACAAAATGCAATTCATAGTTTCTGAATTAGAAGTCCATTGAGAAACATGATGATTGAGGGGTGAAAAAAAAACTCCTTGGAAAAAGTGAAAAATGATTGGATTAATTTTACAGGAGAAAAAAACCCCTCTTTAAAAATAATAACAGAAAAAAGCGAGCAGGACTGGCCTGTAGGTGGCGGTATATAACGGAATGTTTTCGGTCATCGTCAGGGTAGCAATAAATGTTCGCCTTGATGGGTACAAATGTGGGTCAGATAGGACTGGCTTGCAAATGGCATTGTATACGGGATTCACAATTGAGATCGTCTGGGCCGGATTGGTACGCCGCGTCAAAGAGGCCAGACGAGAGGAACCGAGATGCGATCGGCCACAGCACGCTTCGAGCTCAGCCGAGCAGTGAGGAAGGGAGGTACGACCGAACTACTAGTAGACAGTGAATACTGAGGGATCCGCCGTGAGCGTCGACAGACCGCATGAGATCGGAATGCGGGAGATGACATCAAAACCGCGAAAATTGTCGCTATGGGGGGAAGGACAGCGATGGATTTAGAAACCAATTAAAAACAGGGGTTTCTAATGATATAATTAAGAGTTACCACTTAATCTACCACTAAATCCCAGGAGGACCCTTCTCGAAGTCAAGAATCTGAGTGTTCGGGAATGAGACCGTTAACAGTGCCTTTATGCTTTCCGGTGTAAGATGTTTGCGCAAGTTCGACTTGAATACAAGTAACTTAGGCGATAATCTAATTTCAGGCGGAAGATTATTCCAAAGGAAGGCATATTTGGAAACAAAGAAGAGGGAGCGCTTAGATGTAGTACAAAGAGGTGGCGGAATCACCATGCAGGAGTTGCGCGTGGCATATGACCGATCTCTCGGAGTGAGAGTGTCAATGTGCGGAAGACTGGAGCTAGAGTTGATGCGAAAAAGGAAGCAAAGGCCAGCTTCGAGTCTTCTAACCCACAAAAACTTCATGTTCGCCAGCTGACATCTCTGAGTATAAGAA